CATGTCGAAAAAAGTCATAGTATAGCATGTCGAAAAAAGTCATAGTACAGCATGTCGAAAAGTCGTAGTATAGCATGTCGGAAAAAGTCGTAGTATAGCATGTCGGAAAAAGTCATAGTATAGTGTGTCATAAAAAAGCTGGCACTCCTGTTGGTTTCTCCAAATTGGTCAAAAGTCGTATGTAGAAAAAACGTAATAAGTCATAGTATATGTTGAAAAAACCCTCTTGGTATAGCTTGTCAGTATGTCATAGTTTAGAATGTCGGAGGCATCTCTTTAACCACTCGTATCACTATCAATTATCTATTTTTTGTCCACTTCTGAAACTTCACCTGTAGTGTACATCTCACCTGTAGTGCACTCGACCTCTGACCTCGTCTCGTTACAGCGTGTGGAGTAAACAGACTCCACAGACAGCAGCAGGTTTCCAGAGGTATTACTGTTTTTATTTCAGAGTGTCTGAGAGAAAAGGCACTAAACCAAACCGGGAGAGTGACATTGACTTTGAATATACGAGCGAGCGAGCGAGAGAGAGAGAGAGAGAGAGAGAGAGAGAGAGAGAGAGAGAGAGAGATATGCAGAGGATCAGGTTTAAATTAACATATATAAAGTTTAGACAACACCAGGCATACAAACACACTCAACATCCCCACACAGCGTACTATCTACACATGTCCTGATTGATTAAATACAGCAGGCTGAAAAACACCAGGAGCCCCCCCCCGCAAATATATTTAGTTAAAGTGTCTAAAAGATGTCGTGTTTAACAGCAGAAAATATAAATGTAGTGTTTTTATTTTTTACTTTAAGTCTCCTTCATCAAAACCCCGACAACAACATAACTCTTACAGGAATTATAAATACTGTTTTACTTCATACTGTTGAAAATACATTTGACTATTGTCATCTCTGACACCTTGTTTCTGGTTGTCCTACCTTTTGTTTTTACCTTCGTCAGCACACCGGTCTCACCTGCTCAGCATGGTGTGTGTGTGTGTGTGTCTGTGTATTAAGTGTGTGTGTGCGTGTCCTCTCACTGTCCATCATCATGTGTAATACATCCTGGATGTGTGTGTGTGTGTATTAAGTGTGTGAAGTGTGTGTCTGTTTATGTATGAAGTGTGTGTGTGTCTGTTTATATGTATTAAGTGTGTGCGTGTGTGTATTAAGTGTGTGTGTGTTAAGTAGGTGTGTCCCCCACTGAGCATATATATATATATATATACATATATATATATATATATATATATATAAATAAATAAGACAAATAAAGTGTGTGAGTCACTGAGTGTATTTAAAGTCCAGCTGGAGAACATGTTTGTGTTGCTTGTTTAACATCAGTATCAGTATGTCACAGTCACACCTTCTTCTGTCATGAAACAGTTTAATAAATATCTTCATAACCTGATGATGGTTTGAGATTAATTCCTCACAATTAACATTTAGTGGCGTCATCGTTTCTCTGGTGCGTTCAAGGACAATCTGAGACTTTGTGAGTTGGCACAGCAGAACAGCAATGTCCAGGATGTGTTACACATGACGATGGACAGTGAGAGGACACACACGGACACACACACACACACACACACACACACACACACACACACACACGAAACCCTAACCCGCCTCAAACCAACCAATCCCTCCTCTCGGCCCCTCTGCCCGGTAACCCGACCCGATGAGGGATTCCGGGTAATGATCCGGTTACTGTGGTAAAGGCTCAACCCGTAAGTTTAAAGGGTTAACAACGCAGTTATTATAGATAATAAATCAACTAGTAAAAAAAAAAACACCAATAATCATGAAAGTATTTGTTTTTATTTATTATAAATATTATTTGTATTTATTATAAATTATTTTATATTGTTTATTTTGATTATTTTATACACTGCTGGAGGGTTTAATCTGTCATATTACATCATCATTTATCACTTAATGTATAATTTAAATATATCATAAAAACTGCAAACTTATCAAATAAATGTAGTTAAAGTAAAAAGTACAATAGTAGAGGAGTAGAAGTATAAAGTAGCATAAAATGGAAATACCCAAGTACAATTTTGAGGTACTTGTACTTTATTCGGTACTTTGGTAAATGTACTTTGGGGACTTTCCACTACTAGTCGCTTCCTTAATAAATACACATTTCTACTGTTGTATACATGTTTACATCGTCTGTAATGAGGATCAATGAATTTATTTGTTATTTATTTATTTTTCTTATATTTGAGCTGCATTGTTGATTTATTAAATTGCTTTTTGGGTCTCACGATGCAGTGATGGAGCAATGGAGAAAGATATAACTTGCATTTTTACAAATGCAGGTTATAAAAACACACTAAATGTGTATTTTGGCAAAACCTGACGGAGCTTTCTGCACAAGAAGTGCAGCATGTGCAACAAACAGTATAACTGAGTTTAATGAGACACACAGCTTCTCTGTTCATTCATGTGGAGGAAGCCGGTTATAATGTTATCAGCGTGCTAATGAGCTGAAATTTAACCTCGAGTTGAATTGCTCATTTGTATGGAAGCCCATTTATGACAGCCATAAATAAATAAAAATCACCCAAAAAAAATAAAGAAATTAACATTACAAATATATATATTTTATTTACAAAAATAATATAAATAATAATGTTTTTTATTATTACTTTTTTTTACTTTTTTCCGACAGCAAAAAAAAACAACTAATTATTTAAATTTGTTTTGCTGCTCGAAATGGGCTTCCATACCTATGACTCTAAAGGCTGCGTCTTAAAGCACTTGTTTCAGGTCGCAGTGACGGCTAGCATTGGGCTAGCATTGGGCTAGCAGTGACGGCTAGCTAGCATGTATTAAATGCTAGCAAGCGGGCTAAACATGCTACTTGAACACGGGGAGAGGACGGCAAAATAAATAAAAAAGCTAACGTGTGTCATCGGAGACTGCACGCATGAAAGATGCATGAAACATCTTCACTGTGTGTGTCTGTGTGTGTGTGTGTGTGTGAGAGCGTCGGTTGCATTGCTATGTCGAGCTAACGAAGCATTAGCATCAGATTAGCTAATAATGTTATCGAAGCCCTCGCTTCCATTATCGGACAAAGCTCAAACACTTGGCCACACGGCTAGCTAATTCCACTAATATGACTCGGGTGAAAAAAAGGGATGTATTGTAAATTAATCAGACTTTAATAACACAAAATATGCTAAAGACGAGTGTGTGGTGGCTTGGTTGGGAGAAATAGTGCGACAGACGGCTCTGTGTCCGATAATAGGCGCATTGAATTTACGCTAATAGTGCATTTGCATGTAGCTAAATTAAGCTAGCTTCAATGCGCCTATTATCGGACATAGAGCCGTCTTAGGACATTAGCAACACTAACACGTTATATTTAAACACGTTATAGGTGCGGACTCACCGGACGCCTGTGAGGTTACAGCAACCGGTCCGGTGTGGGTCTTGCTCCCCAGTAACGTGTAAGATGCAACCGGACAAACAAACGGACGCACCGGAGCGGTTGTTGACGCAGACCGGAGCAGGTTACTCCAACGGACTGTGGTGCGTTTAGGGACGACTGGGAAACCAGAACATCATCATCGGGTTATTTTTTATGCGTGGGATATAAGATAAACGTATCAAAACAAGTATTATAAATAAGGAATAATAATAAAACAGTAATAATAATACAAATAATAATATAATACTATAATAGAGTCATAATAAAGCTACATTTGTTTGAAATTTTCCATATAATTTCCTGAAAGGATAGCTGGATTATCTGTGTTTTATGGTCAGATATGAGCTCAAGATAACAGATTCCGTATCAATTGTTACTCATTAACAACTTAAACATGTCTTTCCACATAGTTCTCTTCAGGAGTGGTTATTGGTTCTGTGGAAATTGCGCTGGGATCAATATTAGTTAAACGACCAGAAAGAGACTCAAAACGACCTTAAAAAGAACTCGTATCCATATGTTTTACTGTAGAATTCACCACAACCTGAACTCAGTGTGAAGGAGTGAGCGGCCAGGCTGCAGCCAGCAGGGGGCGCTGCAAACAAACAAATCACGAGAGTGAAGTCACCTCAGTCACAATGAGTTTTTAATTCATTATCAGGTAATTAAGTACATTCTTTGTACTCTACATATATGTATTATATTTATTGCTTTATCTCAAGATAACTTGTCTTTGTTGTCAGATTTTATCAAGATATCAAACTTCTGTTTCTTTATTAAACTGAAGATGTTATTTTGCTGATTAAACAATTTTCTTGTGACTTAATCGTTGCTGGAAGAAGTATTCAGATCCTGTAAAAAATAGCAATACCTAAATGTAAAAATACTTACCTATAACTATTTTACTACAGAAGTATTTTCAGCAAAATATACTCAAAGTATCAAAAGTAAAAGTACTTGTATGCAACAGAATGACAACCAGTGTTGTGGAAAGATACAAAAAATCTCCTCGATTCCAATAAAAAGAGCAAAACATGGTGACGCTTTAATGTCCCACTGCTCCTGAACACATCCTAGTGAAACTCTGAGGTGGATGTGTGAGATAACTTTCCACTGTGTCACTGCAGTCAACTCCCAACACTTGTTCACACACCTGAATGAAAACACACTCACACACACACCCTCCTGACGGCAGTGGGTGGAGTTTCCTGGAGGTTTTAAAGCGCTGCGTAATGTGCCGACGTGGTGTCATTACGCACGCGGAGCTCACCGAGCGCACAACGCATTTGGACTTTTCAAGATTAAAGTCTTCTTCTACGAAGTGTTCGGAGATACACGTCGATGCCGACTCTCTGAAGAACCCGGTTATTGGTTTATGGTGACAGATCTGTGCAGTGGTTCGGTAAGTCATTATGAATTTATATTTTTGTTTCCATTATGGATAATTCATTTCAACTAACAGAAGGTATTGTACTTCTAATAATAATAATGATTGTATATAGATGGATAGATATAATGTAATATAGTCAAATTACAGCTAAATATGTGGATGGCCTGTTTGTTTTCTTTGCCAATATGAGCTTTATTATTGCAGATTCATTTGTTCCAAAGTGCACAGCTAATATACCACATTCACATCATTTTGTGCAGCTAAAAAATAAATATTTAATAAACACTGGGTTAAAATAAAAAGCTCTGGTGCTGCTAGCTTTTAGTTTGATGACCCAATAGAGAAATAACAATACAAATATACAAATGTTTATACTATTATAGGTCAAAATAATATTAATATCGGGTTAGAAAATCCAAATGTAACACAAACTTGGTTAAAGTTACTTCCGACCTCAACAAGGAGCTCTTTCTTTGTTATTTCTTCTTCTGAGGTTTTTATCAGAGCAGCATCAAAGAGGAATGTGCTGTCTAAACAAAGACTCTGGTTTCGGCTTCAGGAGCCTGTTTTGCATCTTCCTGTTCCAGGTTAACTGGTCCATCGGGTGTGTCTCTCTGCTGGGATGCTGAGTGGTACTGCAATGATTTCTACTGGAGTATTTCCAGTATTATTCTGATATAATAAATAGTATAGTTGGAGCTTCTTGTCACAAAGTTTCAAAGTTATCAGTTCCACCGAAGAGACCTTTCCCCTCATTTAAAGTGAATATAAACTTGTGCATAAGAGCTTAGTTTTTTCTTATGTTAATCATCTCACGACCCCTCCGATTTATCTGGTGACCCTTTGGAGGGGCCCGACCCCTATGTTGAGAACCCCCGGACTAAACCGTAAACAAAGTAGTTAAAACTAACTCATCCTCGAGCTGCTACAGGGGAAAATAATGAGTACTTTTACTTTGGTACAGATTTTTAATGCAGTGCTTCTGCTTGTAATAGAGTATTTTTACAGTTTTATCTACTTTTACTTAAATAAACGATCTGAATACTTCTTCTTTTGGTCATTATAAGTAAACAGCTCCCTCTATTATGCTCTGACGTTGATTGACCTCACCGTGATCTCTCTGTGTCTCCAGACTCGTTGAAAAGAAGATTAGATGATTCTTCAGAGCGAGACTAGATGTGATTCTGGTTTTGTCCTCGTGCCGTCCAGGGAACACCGGGCCCTCCGTGAGATGTCCTGACGACCTCTGACCCTCGCACCATGGACGCCCGTCTGCAAGGAAACCCTCAGCTCCAACACAGGGTCAACGGAGGAGGTGGTCGAAGCTCCAGGCCAGGCGTAAGTATCTGAAAACCACTGAAGTTAGAAGTTAATCAACGCTTTACTAGACGTTTGTCTCATTTTAGAGGGTAAAACATCTTCCATATACGTAGATTATTGCACTTTTACATCCTTTGAGCTCTGGAACAAATGCCTGCAGGTGGATTTTGTTACTTTTGGATAGAGCGAGGCTCGCTGCCTGTTTCCCTGTTTCCAGTCTTTATGCTAAGCTAACCAGCTGCTGGCTGCAGCTCCATACTCGTACAGACATGAAAGTGGTGTCAAGAAAGAAAATAAGAGTAGCTACTTTCCAAAATGTTGAAGTATTCCTTCAACTAAATAACATGAACAACCTCACCCTGCTTGCAGTTGTTATGCTAAGCTAAGCTAACCAGCTGCAGGCTTTCTACTGAGCGTATAGACATGAGAGTGGTATCATTTTAACTTATGTTACTTTCAGAAAGAAAGCGAATAAGAAGCTACTTCCCAAAATGTAGAGTATTCCTTTTACAAAATAATTAGCTAATAAGTGGAAAGAATAACCTCATTTTTTATGCTAAGCTAAGATAATCAGCCTACTTAAAGTACAGAAATGAGAGCGGTGTCAAATTTCATATCCAACTCTCAGAGAGAACGTGCATAAGAGTACTTCCTAAAATACTGAAGTATTTCTTCAACTAAATAATTTACTAATAAGCAGAAAGAACAACCTGACCCTGTTTTAATTTATGCTAAGCTAAGCTAACTGGCTGCTGGCTGTACGAGAGTGATATTAAGCAATATTTTCATCTAAGCAAATGAGTGTATTTCCCAAAACATCAAACTATTATATGTTTGTTTTCGATAATTGCCAACTAGAATAAATACAGCTGATTTATTTGTCATCACTGGGGACACAGGTGTGTATAATTACACCCTCGTGCTCTGTTTACTGGAGCATAGAGTAGTCTTGTCCTATTGTCAGTAAACACACATTCAGCGTATCAGGTGAACAGCTGATTATTCAAACTGTACTTCGCACTGACTGAGGCCCTGTGTCGTTTTAACACAATGCACAGAGTCTTCACAGACGCTGAGAAATAACAGCTGCTTAACAACTTAATCCCTTCGCATGCCTTCGGCGGATGACATTCATTGTCAACACAACAACAACCGGTTGAGCTGCAGTTTTTATAGGTTCCCGAGCTTCTTCGCGACAATATACCGACTGAAACCAGCAGATCGGTGTGTTTATCTCTTATTGGTTTCAGTTGGGTGTTGCTGCAGGTGTGTGTGTTTGTGTGTTTGTGTGTGTGTACGTGCAAAGCAAAAACATGGCCTCGTAATGTCAGCAACAAACCCTGTTTGCCGTGTCGAGGTCATCCCCTTGAAATAGCTGAAAATAAGCAGCTTCCTTCGGTCTGGTGGCTGTGTAATTACAGTAAAACATTTTGTCGTCAAACTCTCTGTTGTTCATTTGTCACTCGACAAGTACTAGTACTAAGTGCTGAATGTTTGGTTCAGCTTTGGGAAGTACTCTTAGTCTCTTTCTCTCTGAGAGTTCAGATTAGAAGAGGATTGAAACCTCTTTCATCTCTTTGCAGTAAATATGAAGCTACAGAAAGCTAGATAGCTTAGCTTAGCATAAAGCCTAAAGGTCACTAATAAGACACGTTTGTTAAATACCTACAAAAATGTAAGTGTAAAACTTCTCACTGTTTTTAGGCGGTAAAAAGCTCCAGAAAAAAGGCTAGAAAGTGGAGCTTGAGTTGAGATTATTTAGTTTAACTGCTGTTGGGAACATTAGATTTATACAAAACAATAAGTATCTGAAAAGATTTGTCTGCAAATACTTGCTCTCGTAAGTTTTAAATGTAATATAATACTTTTCTTTGTGGCTCAGTCCTTCCACCTCTACTTAGTTTGACATTGTTACAGGGGATTATTCCCCACGGCCATGTGGTTTGGTTTAAATATGTGTCTCGATCTTTATCAGGACTGAAAAACAGACCTCAAAGGGAAGCAGCAAAATCAATAGTCACTGCGTGTTGTTACGTGGATATCCCTTTGAGTTATTCTTTGGTTTCAAACCTGTGCTGAGCTGGACAGGTTACAGTGGAGGTGAAGCAGAGATGGTGAGAGGCGAGGAGAGAGGGGCGTTTGAGCTAAATTCAGGGTCGGAAAGTAGTTTGGAGGGTTGGGATGCAGGAACAAACAGACCTGTGTTCAGTCTGTACACATGACTACTGTATGAGAGCGGATGGTTTAGCAACATGGGGTTCAATATTTTCTTTTCTTCAGCACAAAAAATTACAGAACAAATATAATCCAGTGGAAAAAAGTCTCGTTCCTTATTTTTAACCTTTTCAAACAACTGCCCAGTTTAGAAAACCCAGAATAACTTCATCCGAAGAAGCAACTTTATTAAATCTTGCCCTCCAAATATTATTTTGCCAATAACAATTCTAAAAAGATGTTGTTTTGATTTCTTGGTATCTATGGGGATTCATAAAGAGCTTGAAATAACCTCAGACAATCACAACATGTCAACTAATTTCCTTCTTCCTCTTTGGCCTCGACAGGAAGATGATGCTCTGCAGTACCTGAGCCAGGAGGAGCAAGAGTGCCTCAAGTTCTTCGAGAAGACCATCGACTCGTTGGACGAGAGCCTGGAGCCAGTCGACGGAGCCCCAACCTCGAATCCCACCGTGTCCTCCCTCTTGGCCAGACATCCCGGTCCTAAAGACCAGGATATTATATACCTGGTCCGCCCAGAACCGGACCTGGTGCAGACCAAAGAGCGACTATTCAATCCCAGCAATCCAGGTAGCGTACAGCAGATTGTTCTTGTAGCCAGGAATACAATTATAGTGTATTGTGTTTAGTCATTGGTCTGGTTGTAGTCTTTCTCAGATTTTCACTTTGCAATTTGTTCCTCCTAGATTTTCAGAGTATGATGCAGAACCCTGAAAGCCACTTCGGGATGAAGCCAAGGCAAAATTCGATGGACAGCTTGCCTTCAGAGTACAACCCTCCACTACCAAGCGGCAGCTATGGGTCGACAGACAACCACTCTTCCTACCATCCTCCAGGCTGCATCCCCACCCCGGTCCTGATTGCCCAGCAGATAGCAGATAACCGGGGAGGTGGAACTAACTTGCGTTCCTCCTCATACCGCCGTAGTCACAACCAGGAGTCCGACAAGCCACAGAGCCCAGTTGGTGATCTTCATCTTAAACATGGTCCTCCTAAGCCGTCCCGCTTCCCTGCTAACATCAGCCTGACCCACAGCAACAAGGAGCACCAGAACCAGTCGCTGGGTAATGTGAACATCCACGACAGACGGGCGCAGATGCTGGCAAACCTATCGGGAACGTCAAACCCTCTGGTGCAAGAGGATCCTCAGCCGGCCGTGGAGCCGACGGCACGAAATATTCCCACTCGCAGCATTTCCTTCCAGGACCCCTCACCAGACAAATCCAGGATGGAGGCCCTGTCTAAGCTGCGCCTGAACAGGAACCGAGCCATGTCCGAGGAAATGTCGCTCCTCGCCGCCCCAAGCAGCACTTTTCCGAATCCTCCGACACATGCAGAAACCATTGGCAAACCAATGGAGGCCAGTGCTCCCCCAACAACAGACACCACCATGAAATTGCCAGAAGCCAATGTTACGACGCCACGTCCGAGTCAGAGTCCTGTTGACAGAAAACCAGAGATTCTGCGGTCAGATTCTCTCAAGAGGTTTGACGATAGAAACCACCAACTGAGCAGCTACTATCCACCACCTCCTTTGGATAACATCTCGTCTTTCCCCCCTCCGCCTGAAGTCACCTCGCTGGAATTTAACAGCTACGGGGGGAAATCCATCAATGTGAACCCTTCTGTCTCAACCAGGAGCGAATCTACAACTCCATCTAGCCATGAACCCAAAGTCCTGCCAACTGCGCTGGCTAACCCCAGCGAGTTCAACCCCTATGGAGGAAAGACCAAAGTCATGACCCCTGGTCCTGTAGCCATGACCAGGAGCGACCTTCCCGACATCCTCAGCACCCATATCAACAAGGGTCAGACCTTGCCTGCCAAATCAGAGCCACTGCCCATCGAGCTTAACAGTTATGGAGGAAAGAGCCGAACCTTCAACCCAACCACCGGGTTGAATCGCCCTTCAGACACCCCGGCAAGGAGTTTCAAAGCTCCAGTACCGGCCCCAAGACCTCCTCGGCACTCCTACCACGGCGACGTTACCCCCCAGAAACCAGCGCCGCGAGCCTTTTCCCCTGAACGCCGGCGGAGATCCACCTCCATGTTTCGTCCCCAAGGCATCACCGTGCAGTTTTCCGGACGGGGGGCGATGGACGAACCGCGCAGGGAGGCGTTGAGGAAACTGGGACTGCTTAAAGAGTCTTGATGAACTCTCTGGGGAATCAAGTCTCCAATCCGTCGAGCCTGAATCTCTGGTGTGTACCTGCTGGTGGAGGTTGGAATGCTAGAAGTTTCCCCATGTATGTCTGAGTGTGAGGTGTGGTTGGAGAGAAACCTACTCTTACAAAGGAATGGAGACAGATCCAACGATAGACCTGCACAGCCAGTTCTCACTTCCGACAAACCATTGTGACACGGTGCAGCTGTTGCTGTTTCAATGACTATAGTTTGCACAGATAAACTGCTTTATGTTGCCTCCGATCCAAGACATTATTATACCTCGACCGAAGACATTTTGGGAGCAAACCGATGTAAAGAGAAGCATCATCTTCCTGCAGGAATCCCCGTTGTTTGACACGAGGCTGATTGTGAATAGCCACATTCTTTTTAAAACTGGGTCCCATTTCCTAAAAACTTCTTCAAGAAAAAGGACTGGAAACATTTTATATTTTGTTACTGTAAGACCCAAACTCCTAATTCCTATAAAAGATGTACATTTTTTTTAAAACACAAATTTATGTTTTTAGCTGCAAGAAGATACTTATAGCTGCAACTTAAACTGCAGCTAATTATGCACAAGAGTAATTAGATCAACAAAAAAGAAAGCAATAAATTGTTACATTATGGAGTATTTTAGCTGCAAATTTGATTTTAAATCCTTTAAAAAACCCAAATAGTTTGAAAATACTCTGAAAAGAGCTCCCGTTGTTTGTTTCTGGATCCAGGTTAAGTTATATTGTTAGTTTTACGGTGTCACTTTCCTTCCAGAAGCTAACAGCAGAGTGAAATTAATGTTTGTGAAGTTACTCTGGAGCCTTATTTTTTAAATTATTTCTATGTTTTATTGACTTATGGGCATTTTAGTCAGCGGTGAGTTTGTGTGTGTGAGTTGTTTTTTCTGTCAGCACTTTGGGGAAAGAACAAAGTTGAAGGCACTTTTCTTGGGTGCAATTTTATTACTTCTGAAAACGACTAAAACTATGTAGTAAATTGCAGAAAGGTTGTTATCTTACTATGGAATCGAATATTGACAAGAAAATCACACAAAGTGTTCTGGAAGCTGATTCCTCCATTGACGTCCTGGGATATCAATGCTGCAGGAGTCACGCTGCAATGTAGATTCTAGATGTAAAGCTGGACGATATTGTTACTCAAACCTCCCACACCAAACACAGACTGTGGATTGGCTTTGTGGGCAGGACTTCTACTTTTTTTTACTTACTACACAGAGGGAATACTTTGAAAGTGCTCTTTAGGGATGGGCGAGCACATGGCATTGTACAAAAACACAAGCACTAAAAACCAGAGTCTAGAAATACATCCTGGATTACTTATGTGTTTTTATTCCTGTTGAGCTGTTGTCGAATACTTTGGGACATTTTGCAAAGTGTGTTATTTAACTGTTGTACCAGCATAAGCATGTATGTGTGTGTGTGTGTGTGTGTATGTTTACTGACTCCGGCATCTGTAGTTCACCTACAGCAACTTTTGAAGTATATTTTGTTCCCACGAAGAAGTATCGAGGTACTTTTCCTGTGTGAATATTTTTTTTTTTTAGTTTCGAGACTCCGGTTCTCTGTAGTTCAGCTACAGTCATTTTGAAGTATCTAATGGTGCATACATAGAGTATACAGAAACGTACTTTATTGGGAAATGTTTTGTGCAAAGTGTACAAATGTGCACATAACAGGGATTTAAAAAGTCTGTGCATATGTGGTGAATGGGAAGATCATGTGAGCGTTGCTGCTACGGTACAACACCCTGGTATACTGTCTGACTTATTTTATATGTCCATATTATAAACTGTATATACTCTGCTTAATATATATATCATGTTGAAATTGTTGTCATCAATCATTAAACAGAATAATAGTGACTTCTTTTCTAATGTTGTTTTTTAATTAACTCTGGAATGTAAAAGCTGGTGCTGTTCAATGATTGGCCACATCTGTGGAATATTTCACCTGAGGGGAAACTTACAGGATGTTTTAAAGGTGATGAGGAGGTGTTTTGGGCGACTTTCTTAAAGGGGCACGACACTGATTTTACACATAAAGATCTGTTTACTTTTGGCAAGTAAATGTAAACAGTTCCTAAAATGTGTTCCTTCTCTTTGAAAGGAAAAAGGTCGACATTTTGAGAAATATGCTTGATCGCTTTCTAGCAGATCTCGGTTAGCTTAGCTTAGCATAAAGGCTGGAAACGGGGGGGAAACTGCTAGCATGGCTAAGACCAAATGTAACAAAATCGACCTTCCAGCACCTCTAAAGCTCGCTACTATTTCTCTGTTTTACAAATGTTTATGTGCCGGATTATTTTTTGGCGCAGACCAGTAACTTCCTGGTTGCCTGGCAGGAAATACTCCAGCGATGTTGTAAAAACCAAGAAAAGATCGTAAAATACTTAGGTTTAGAAAAAGATCGTAAAATACTTAGGTTTACGAAAAGATCGTAAAATACTTAGGTTTAGGAAAATATCGTAAAATACTTAGGTTCAGGAAAAGATCGTAAAATACTTAGGTTTAGAAAAAGATCGTAAAATACTTAGGTTCAGGAAAAGATCGTAACATACTTAGGATTAGGAAAAGATCGTAAAATACTTAGGATTAGGAAAAGATCGTAAAATACTTAGTTAAATTTGGTAAAAGATCGTCTTTTGGGTTAAAATAACTACTGAATTGCCGTTACTGAAGAACACAAGTTACGTGAGAAATAAACATTGACTTCTCGTTTCACACGAGGAACAAATAAAAGGTCTCCTGGCTAAAAGATCGCTGTTTCTTGGACACAGCCGCCATGTGTAGGTCTTTCTACTTCCTCGTTCATGATTACGCTGATGACATAGATAGCGACTTAACAGACCATTATCTAAATGAAAATCCTCGAGGTTGTTACTTAAACAAACGCTTAAATTAAAGCTTCAACACTCTCTCTCTGCAGGGAAATTACTGGTCTTGGCCAAGAAATAGTAGGTTAATATTTAATAAAACAGACCTGAGAGCAGTGTCAATATTCTCCTCCAACTCTCCGCCAGAGAGAGAACATATTTACATAAAATGTCTGCTTTAACAGAAAGCCTGTGTTACAAACTGGTGCATTCAGCAGGCTGCTGGGAGCGTCTAATGCTGCAAACATGCAAATAACTTGAAGCGTTGACACAAAGATGGTTTCGACTTGTAGCCACACCAAAAAAAAACAGCATAAATTTACTTTTTTTAACACTTTATGTAATGAAAACAGAAAACAATGTTTGGATTTCTCCTGTTTTCATCATGTAACGAGGTTTTATAAAGTTTCGTTTTTCTGACTTTCTCCATATTCTCCTCATTGGACTTGTTGCGCGTTGAACTCCAGCAGCACAGAAGCAAAGTGTGTGGACTGCAGACGGTTACATAAGACTTGAACATGGAGGCCTTCTCTCCTGCAGAGTACTGCTGTGTGTTTGAGGAAAGATGACTGACGTTCAGCTTCACCATTGTCTTCATCCTAATGGAGCGTGAATGTCCTTCAGCGAGTTTTAACACAGTTTATCTTGTGTAAGTTAAATTAAATCACCACAAACAGAGGATCCATTTTACAGCTGGTGTCATCAATATGTGATCTGCAGAAGTTGTCTGGGTAATTACATCTGAGCCACGGGTCGGATTTTAATATGCAAATTAGTGCAAAGGACCAGGAAGCAGCGGCGTTAGATGATCTTTTAACTTCCTGGATTGATTGTTTGTTTTAATCAGGAATGTGGTCACACTGTACAGACTGCATTCACAGCTGGTGTAAGCGTAATGTAACGAACACAAATAACTTAGAGCTGAAACTCAATGAATCCAGTAGTTGGATTTAAAGGGACAGTTGGGATGTTGTGTACTGTGGTTGTATGAAGTACTTCTACATATTCAGTGTACTACTACTGCTGTGGATGTATTTTAGGCACCTAAAAGAATCAATATCAGTTTAAGTTTATGCTATATTTAGAATATTTACCTTGATGACGGGGGAACTGAAGCCAGACTTTATTCACAAAAACAGTGATGCTACCTGTCAGGATACAGGAGTTGCTGGTCTATCGCTGCCTCCATCCGTTAGTTAGTTTCGTTATTGTGTGACTTTGCTGTTTTAAAGGGTTACCAAAGTCTGACTAACTTCCATTTCCTGGCAGGTAAAATTGTCTTTTTTGTCAATGGAGTCCGGTGGCTTTGAAGAGAGCATAAATGGAAAATAAAATCGAAATGTTTCGAGCGTAATACGCTTGAGTTGGTTCATTTATTCGTCTATTTGGGTATAAAACTGTGTTTTTAAAGTATCAGAGCAGTTCAATCATACACTTCTAACACAGATGAACAGGTTGCATTCTGGGAAAATCTTAGAAAAAACTGCATTGTGTCAGCGTCACTTCAAGGAAAGATTCACTTTTTTTTGTTCTAAAAACACAAACGTCGGGTGATACTCACCTGGTTCGTCTGCTGGAGCTTCATATTTACTTTAAATACTTTGAACAGGAATGATTACAGCAAGAAAAACCTGTTTCAATGTCTATATTTGTACCTTTAAAAGGTATTTGGGTACAGGCGTGTTGTGTCCAGCATTAATTCAGCAGCGCTGTACATACGCAGTGTTTAGAGGAGCAGAAAATGAGGACACATTTATGTTTGCTCGCCTCGTAATTAAGACCTCGAACAAACAAGGCGCACCCTCTCAAAACACGTGAATAACACGACCTCATCCACAGACCTGGGAACACAGCGGTTATCTTCATACATTTATTGAGATAGTTCTGTCATGAGCTCAGACACAAAGCCACAGGAAGCTACTTCTTTTATCTCTGCAGGAATCTAGACACAGATTGAACTAAACCGGAGCCGCCGCTGGACGCTTTTCACTACAAATGACATAAAGAGCCATGCAGCAGAGTATATTTATCCATCTATCAGATCAAATGAATCTATGATGATGTCGTCAGGCACACGGTTATCCACTGAAGAAAAGAGCTTCTTTTACCACGTTACACTTCACAAATCAAAGCAAGCTGAATATTGTCAAATCTAACTCTTTAGATGCTCCTAAATCTGAGAAGAGAACAAAAATAAAACATCTAGAAGGATAGAAGTGTCCGATGGTTTGAGATTCTGTCGCTGTTGTTTTTCTTTGAGTTCAAGCTGGGCTAACTGTTCCCCCCTGTTTACAGTCTTTGTGCTAAGCTACGCTAACCAGCTGTAGCTTCACATATTCACAGTACAGGACATGAGCTCCTCCGGTTAGTAGCATGTTTCCCGAACCACCGCACTGGATGGTAGGCCGCTGTATCTGACAATTAACTGCAGGTATATGTCAAAATTACTTCTTTAAGCATTTATCAAAAGAAATAGTCGGTAACTCTTTATTTTACGGGTTTCATCATTTCCCATAATTTTGAGTAAATGTCTATTTAAAGGCAAGATCCTGGAAACAAGTATTTGATTTAGTGATAAATATAAATAAAAATGTTTTCTACTCAGGCGGTAACTAATGATCGTTTTTAATTTTTGAATTAATCTGCCGATTATTTTCTCAATTAATTATTTGGTTTATAAACTATAAAAAAACAAAAAAACAATTACAACTGCCCGAAACCTCCAAAATATTAAACGTATAATAATATAAACAGAATTAATCACCTGGAGAAACTACAGAAGTTTGGAATGTTTCTTTAGAAATAATGATTTAAAGAGACAGTTCACCTTTTCAGAAATCATGTTTTTTCATGTTGGGACTATTTTCTCTCTACCGAACTACATCCACCAACCGGGTCACTGAGCTTCCTTCTGCCCGGTGATATACGGTCGGTGAATGTAGTTCCGTAGAAAGAAAAAAAGTTCCTGTGGTTTTGATTTTAGGGTGTACTGTCCCTTTAAGAAATGATTAATCAATCATCAAAGTAGTCCCGGAGTACTTTTGACTAATGGCTCAAACAGCTGCCTCAGAACATCGTCTATTGGCGCCAAACGATGTCGTTCTGTCAAGAAATGTACCGACCTGAAACACAAAGTGTTACCAAATTATAACGATATAATTAATATTTTCATTATAACCAGAAAACGACACTCTGAATCGACACTACAGTCTCGCACCATCGGCCACATTTCAAACACATACTTTGTGTACTAACACGTGACCGGTGTTAAAACCTCACTGCCCTCCGTCTCCGTCGACAGTGTTCCCACGTTTTCACTTTAAAAGTTGCAAAACAACAACAGAAAAAGAAAACGTCCCTCTCTAGTCTCGTGTAAACTTTCTATCCACTCGCAGGTTTTTTAAACTCCTAAATATGAGTCACTTTTTGTTGTTTTTTCCACCTGGCGGCGGGAGGCGACTCCGTTTTCCGACTTTCTGTCCCGCCCATCGCCGTCCATCCCGCTCACGTGTTCAGTCATCTTTGTAGTTCTGATCCAGACAGTTGTTGTAGTTTTTTTGTCATCTCAGGCAACAGACAAAAAAAGAAAAGAGAGCCATCTGTCTTGACCTCCACCATCACCCCCCACGGGACTTCTGACCCTTTTGGTTTAGTCTCTCCTCGTCGGGTAAGAAGTGTGTGATCCGGTTCAGGGTTTTGGTCTGTCCCGGGTTCAGGGGGAAGGAAAGGAGTAGGGGGGGGGCATCTGGAGGACTCGTTCCCTGTTTAGACCGGCTTCCCCTCCGATATTTCTTTCTCTCTCTCTCTTTCTTGCTTGTTCATTCGCTCTCTTGCTCGCTCGATCAGCCCGGACCCAGACTCCAATCAGCGTCTCCTGGAGGACAGAGCAGACATTTACTGTAGACGTGATGAGCAACAGGGGGACAGTCTGTCTGTCCAACAAATTCCTGAAGGGACGAAGAAGTCCCGCCCCTTCCTGTGGACCACCATGGGACTTTATCTCGTGACAGTAAGAGACAAATCATTTCACATGATGATGTTTGTCAATTTAAAAGATCTTTTTTTCACGTCAAGTATGAGGCTGTAAACATACGTAGTTAAAAAGACAACACACGTGACGTTTCATACCAGGACGTACTCACAACAACAACGGGTTAATCTCTTTGTTTCAGTGAGTTTATACTGAGCATCGGGAAAAGTACGGAAGCCCTGAGGCTGATATAAATTATTTTCTCTTCTGTGTTTTCACAGCCTCTTGTGGCCGAAATGAGTATTACAACAACAAACACTTGGAAAAAATCATTCCGTCAGAAAAAAATAAAAATAAAAAATTTAAAAAATAGAATTATTTTTTTCTATAAACACGGGAGAGGACGGGTCTTGCTCGTACTTTCTCTTCCCGGCTAAAAAAAAGAGTCGCTGGATAAAACACATCGGGTGACATAACATTACATAGCTAAGTTAGCTAAGTTAGCTAGGATAGCTAGATAGCTAGCGAGGTAACATAGGTTGTACGAGACGAGAGGTTGTAGTTCATTGAGATGTAGTTTCACACAAAACTAAACAACAGTACGACAAAAAGCAACTTTCCTGACTTGCAAATTTATCTTTTAAATTGACAAACATCATATGTGTAATTTAGGGCACAATTAAAACGGAATAAACTAATTTATTTGTCTCTCACCGTACATATTTTTCCCGAAAAAAGGTCCCATGGGGGACACAGGAAGGGGCGGGACTTCGCCTCTCTTTGGGTGCGTTTGTCTACATGAGAGCAATGTTTGTTAAATAAACAGAGCGTTCTATTTCTGTATGAAATAAGGAAACGGGTACTTAGTTCAAATGGCTGAAAGAAAAACACACTTTTCCTAGTTATAATGCAAATTAGCGGTGCTTGTGCAAGAGCTCGTCGCCATTGATGAGAAATGATTATGAGACACGAGGCTGAAACAATATAACTATGACAACAAGTTAGAACACATACGTAAACCCAGTAAATAATCCAGTGAATTAAAAACCTGACAAATCCCTTTTCCTTCTGTTCACCTTTATTATTGACGTTACATTGACACAAAGTATTTTGTGTTTTCTTTTTGTGTATTTGTATCTGTACATTGTCACTTGTAATGTTTACGTTTTTGTTACCTGCCTCTGGACTACAGGCATAAATACCACTGACATGTTTACATTTTGTATTTTTATACTGATGTTCATTAACATACTCACAAAATACCAATTACAAAATGTGTCGAAAAATATGAATTAACTCATACAACCACAATATCAAACAATGAGGACAATGACAAAACAAAAATATCCAGATTTCGTGTCAATAAATGGACTTGACTCTACTTAAATCAGACAAAACAAATCTAATATTGCCCTAAAAATTGATCTGCAGCATTACCTAAAATGATCTAATACATGCTGAGGAATTAAAGAGACGGTGCTTTCTTTTTAAAAACAGATGTATTACACATATTTGTAGTATTTCAGTATTTTTGTGTGCTCTATATTCATGTTTCTTGACATTTGAAGTACTTGCTTTTAGTTTCTTTTACTGTGTTTATTGATAAATGTGTGAAAACATACATACATGATCTATATCGTAATGTATAATATACACAGTATATAATGTGTCTCAGCTGCAAACACGCATTTGGTGTTTTCAATGAGTATCATGTAAGTACGGAAGCCCTGAGAGGTCAAATGAGAAAAAAAAAAAATCTATTTTCTGAGTGTGATATGAGTTTTATCTCTCGTGTTTATGACTTAAGAACAGGTGCGAAAACTATTTGGGTCACGAGAATTGTTTTTCTTATTTCCCTCTCTGGGCTTCCGTAGGTATTGTTTTGGTTTTCATACCAAAGTGCTTTTAGTAGAAGTCTGCAGCAGCAGATGAAGCTGATGATGAAACATGCTGCTGTAGCGATGAAGTTTAAAGAAAAGACCAAAACAAACACATGAATCTTTAAAAACACAAACGTAGTTCATTTAGTGGCATTTCTTGCTGCCGACTGTAGTTTTTAATGGACTATTTTCAGAGGCGGATGAAGACTAACTGGGGTGCGTTGATGGTGATGAAGGAACAACAGTGTCTCTCATTGATGTGTTTTTAATGGAGCTCTGTGGCTCAGAGGAAGAAGAGATATCAGGCTTTGTTACACACACAATACTTGTTATAAACGTTTTATTACTGTTACTGAAGCCAAATCACACATTTCACCCTCCGCTCCACCTGTAAACACCTTTTCCTGTCTCTGTCCTCCCTTTTATCATCTTCAAATATCTAAAAAAAAACAATTTTTAAAAACCTCCTCACCAAAATAAAAGCACCTCGGTACGTAAACATCATATCCCTCGAGAGAAAACAAAACGTTCATGCTGTGTCGTCGTTCCACTTTACAGAAGCAAGAAAGACACACAAGGTGCTGTTTGATGTTAAAGTATAAACTTCAAGTTATCTTTATTTTCCAAATATATCCAGAGCTTTAAAAAACAAACAAAACAGAAAAGAAAACTGAAAATCAGAATCAGTTAAAAGTGCAAATATAAACAGGAAGTCCTCAACAATAATCCTTTCTCCGTTTGTTTGTTTTCTATTAACTTGGGGCTGAAGCCGTGACGCGTCTGTCTCCTGCTCGTCTGTCCTGTCTCGCCTCTCCTGCCTGTCTCACTTCGCTCCGTTCAAAGAGTCACAACAAACCTGAGATAACGAGCAGCTACTCCTCACATCGCCATCCGACACATTCTGCGCTTTGTTTGTTTGTTTGGGGAAGGTGGTTGTTTTGTTTGTTTGTTTGTTTGTTTGTTTTTTTTGAGCGCCGGGCCGGCCGCTTCAGTGAACGCGTCTCACCTTCCTCCGGTCTTGAAGATGAGGTCGGCGTTGGGAGCACCTTTCGGGTGCTGGTAGCGAGGCCGGCGCTCCCGGTTGGTGTTGGCCGGAGCCGGACGCTGAGCGAGGGACTGCATCATCTCTGCAACACACAGAGGAGATTTATTAATAATCATGTGTCACTTTTCTGCTTTTAAATATCTGAAAACAACAAAACCTATGTTTTGTATGCAAATGAGCTGTGAACTAACATTATCCCAAATGTTTCCAACTATCTTCAAACCTGAGAAATCTGTAATTTTGAAACCCTGAGCTCGTACCCTGGTAGTCCTCCTGCTCCTGCCTCTCGTTGATGTCCAGAGTGAGCTTCTTCATCTTCATGCGCTCCTCTTGCTCGGCCTGCTGCTGGTTGAAGTGGTTCGCCGCCAGGTGGGACGACAGCGGCACGTTCAGGATCTTATACTGTCAGTCAGAAACACACACACACACACACACTGGTATGAGATACACAAGATCTGGAACTAGACTGCTAGTTTTTGGGGTTTAGCTGATTTTCTTTGAAAGCTGACGTGAGCTGAGAGTTAAAGGTACAGTCCCTGGTTTTGTTTCACAGCCCAAAATCCCCAAACGTCCTTCCGACCGCCAGTTAGCTTTGGCCAGAGCCAGGCTAGCTATTTCCCTCCGTTTCCAGTCTTTATGCTAAGCTAAGCTAACAGGCTGCAGCTTCGTATTCACCGCACAGACATGAGAGTGGTTTCAATCCTCTCATCTAAATCTCTGCCCCACACACACACACACACACACACACACACACCCACACACACACACAGAGAGAGAAGTCATTTCCTCGTCCACACGTCCTACAAAGATGTTCTGTGTTCGCTCCAAACGTTTTACATTTTATCTTTATTTTATTTGTGTGTGTGTTTCTGGCCGCTGTCCTTTAAAACAGAGAGTGAAGCGGACCGAACGCTTTATTAAACCCTTCGAGCCGGACACACCCTGCTGCAGTACAAGAACCAGTCTCTGCCCTCAAACCACACATTCCACCACTGCAGCGTGACTAAACACACACACACACACATATATCTATATATATACATATATATAGATATATATATATATATATATATATACAGCTACAAGTCCAGAGTCAATATTATTCCTAGACTGTGTGTGTGAGAAGTTTCTGTAGGAGGCGGTGAACGTGTATCACTGTCATTTACAAACTGTATTACAGCTCCTGATCCTTGTGACTACAGATAAAGAAAGAAGGACTCTGGTAGAGACCTGTCAATCACCGTGTAGCCCCGCCCAAAAGCATCCCCTGCTTTATGGTCTGTTTGACT